TAATGTGTGTTTTTGTTGTATAAATGTGCATTGTGCAACATTTCATGTTAAAAATAGCCGTTTTTCTAATCCATACATGCTTAAACAATTGCCTGATGGGCTGATCGAGCCCTTCTCTGATCACTGCGATCGCCTCTATATTCTATAATCCTGTACAGTCAAATAAATAAGAGAAATTCGGGACGCAGTTGTGACGTCATGCGCATTCACACTCGTCTGGCAGGTTTGTGTATTCGCCGCCATTCTCCGTATCAGAGAAGACAACTCGAGCGACAAAACTTTAGTCAACTTTCCACAAAAGTAGACGATGGATTCAAAGAGGCCGGCTTGTAGTTCATTCCAAACCCCAACGTAAACTCCACGTAAGACAAAGTAAATAAAACTGTTGTCTAGTGCCAGGCGTCAGAATAAGACGAGAGTTAACTAGGGCTGTCAATCTTCTTCTATAATACTATTCGAATTCCATTCCTTATTTTATTTAATATTCGAATAATATTCGAATATTAAAGGGGCACCACACAAGAATGCTGTTTTTGTCAAACAGCGACCCCTAGAGTAACTGTGGAGTACTTGTTTGTAACATTACTGTCTAAATACCACTCACAGTAACAGTGTTGCATAGTATACAATAGTACATTGTGTTTAATTTGTCGTTTAATGAGATCTAATATTGTTAGTAGTGAGAATTTTCACGTGATTAAATACATATCCCCATGAACTATAATGGTCCAGAGGAAGAACTTTTGCCATGTGTGTCACAGGTTCTGGGTTCTAATCCTTACTATTGTTTATTTTCCTCATCAACACCGATTGTTTATTAGTGGCTCCTGTATTTCAAGCAGGGACATGTTTTTTGTGCATTGGGTTTTGTGATTTCACCGCAATGAGCAATGAGCGCGCGTCCGTTTGAATATCACCACAGAACACTGAGTCCACTGAAACTGATCGCAGCGCCAACAAGCACTTTGGTCACTCATTTCAAAAACAACACATTTCTGATCGCCTCTTATTTAACAAACGAAATAAATAAATCTACTAGAGTTACCTGGAGATGTTTTATTTGTTTGTATTGGTACATCCGTGCTGCGAGATGTTTCAATGGGGACATATCACACGCACATTACGGCTATGCTCGCGTCTGACTGAAAAGGCTAAGCTTGAAATTGCAAGTGAGATTTTTCCGCTCACAGGCACCAGGGGGTGTCGAGACGCCCCCCATTCAACCCGAAAGAAGTCATATAACCATTTCAATAACTCTGAAGCTGTTAAATTAAGCTAAAATAACTGCATAGTGTCCCTTTAAATGCTAAAATCTATCCTAATATTGATATTTACGACATTACACATGCTTATGGATCGTCAATGCATCTATAGCATGTGGTTGTTGTTACACGTTCTGTCCACTAGAGGGACATCTTACATTTATTCGTGCTGAATATGGTTAGGTGCTTCCGATGGTTTTCGGCTGATATCTCCGCGAAAACACCACCAAAAATTCTGAAACTTATATCGTTCTTTTCAGTTCGACTAGACTGTTCCAACAAGCTGAATGCGCACCGAATCCGTTGAGATATTTGCATTTTTCGCTTCACGGGTGCTTTTTTTTACGTCGTTAAACATTTAGGCTACCATTTTTGACAGTTGTTATGATGATACACCGTGGCCAACGTGCACACTTGTGTTACGATTCAAAAACTTTGTTGTTCATCAGACGAAACAAAGGCATTTAATTTTCACATGCGTGTAAGCCAAGGCGGCGAAAAGGCAAGATTGCATATCAAAGACAATGTAAAAAATATGCATAAAAAAGCAATATTCAAACAGTAACTTCAGCATTCAAATAGTATTGATTTTTTATAATATTCGAATTATATTCGAATTTCGGAATTTGTCCCAAGAGTCAACATCGCGAAGGCTTTCAACAAATGGAGAGATGCTCTAGGGCTCAAACGGGTCCTATACAAACGAATAACTTATATTGTTAATGAACGTGTTTCCATAATAATACAATCATAAGTGGATACTGTAAACATATAAAACAGTTCAACATGGAGATAGATTGAAACAAAAACCGAAGTTTTCTACTACCCCCGTTTTCCCCTCACACACACATAAGTGTGTAATTTACTCAAACGCCTTTCCTTTCATATATTTAAAATGACTTGCAGATTTATAACTTTATTACCTCTGACGACATTATGATTGTAACAAAAGATTTGTGCGGCTGATGGTTATAAACAGCTCGTGCAAGTGCGTGTGTGGTCCATACCTCTGGTTGCAGTTTCGCAGTTTGCTTGTAGTTCTGCAAAACTTGCGCAATGCACCTTTAAATCAGGTGAACAAGTAAAAATTACTAAAGGACATTCATAGGTTGATCTGTTTGTCCAACCAGTGGAAGACGGCGAGAAACTATTTGAAAACGGGCTCAATTCTTTGCAATAACTTTTGGTGAATATAGTGGCACTGAAATTACACACTTCACCTTTAATAAACAAATAACTTTCAACCATTCTTCACGGTTTAAACAAAGTGTGAATATTTGCAGTCGTTATTGAAGGAATGTGACTTCATCAAGCCTGAATGAGGATTTAAATGCATCTCTTCATATCTGTATCATTTTGTATAATGTAATGCCTTACAAATTGATTAAACTAAAATGAATCAGTACGTCTCAGGTTCACTGAAAGCGTGTTGTCTGTCGGTATGAGATGAGCGCTGCTCGTTTTCTCCGTCCTGAATGATGGAAAGGCTTTAACTGGACTTAATGACACATGACACCATCAGCTCCAGTGTAATGTAAATATTTGTCCGCTCTGGGTTTTGCGCACATTTTACATTCTTCATTTGCATTAGTCATCAAGGATGGAAACTCATTAGGGACATTTTGATTTCTCCTCGTTATATTGTTCTCTTTCCGGCTGCTGAAATGAACCCTAACTCTAATTCTGGCTTGCAAAGAAATGTATTAAAAAACATGGAGACATATGCTACTTTTGGGATCAGTAAGATAAAAAAAAAAAAACTTTTATTCAGCAAAGATGCATTCAATTGTAAAGCGATAGTAAACTAAAGATGATTACAGTTACTAAAGTTATAAACATGGATATTTTCCGCTTTACTTCATTAGGCCTTTATTAACCCCCTGAAGTCATATGATTACTTTCATGATGGATGGATGCACTTTTTTGGGCTTCAAAATCTCAGGTAAAGCTTGGAAGAGCCAGGATATTTTTTAATTTAACCCAGATTGTAACCCAGAGTAATTTACACAGAGCGTAACCCAGAGTAATAACCCAGAGTAAATTATGGGATCATTTTAATTTTTGGATGAACTATATCTTTAAATTGTGGTTCAAAATGAAGAATATTGAAATGAATAATAATAGTAGTTATTGAATCTGATCAGTATCAGTTGTCCATTCTCAATATATGTGTTCAGTTTCAATCAAAATATCCAAGTAAGTCCTATATTTTCTTTTCATGAAAATACTGATGTAATTTAATTGGATATTTGAGCCTTTATTTTGGTATATCAGTTATTTATCATTGTGATATTCACAAATCCGCTGCTTTTTTAAGAGTAAAGATTACTAGAAGTCACAGTGTTGTGAGTTTGATGAAGGTTGATGGCGGCGAGGGTTTCTGAAGAGAAAATGCACTTTTTAGAGTAGGTGCAGATGTACAGAGACACCTCACTGAAACTTGAAAAGTAAGTAGACTGTGTGTGCGTCTGGCCAGGGACGTACAGCTGGATTAGTGGATAATGATAACGATGACTGTAAAGATTTCTGCGATTCAACAGTTCAGTGATTCAGGTTTTGGCGGCTTTGTGGTTCTTATAGCATCGCCTCTGGACAAGATACTCTTTTCTCCTGCGCCGTTCTGCTTCTTTTCTTCTTTTCTTTCGCCATGTCTTCTCTCTCTCTCTACGTCACACCACCACCCCCCACAGCGCTTCTGCTACGTTTGAGTTTTCCTTTCTTTCCTTCCGCGGTGAGCTCGCCCCGAAGCCCTTATAGCCAAATTGGTTTACATTGGGGAGATAAATGCTCTGCAAATGCGCTTAAACACATACAGTAAAAATGCAGACAGTGCGTATCGGGATTACCGACCAAGTCATGAGGCGCAGAAGAGAGCCGCTGCTCGCAGTCTGTCTCATCCACTTTCAGGAAGAGGATTTAGCATATCCTTGCCTGTCAGTAATTCCTGGAATTATATAACGCCATGGCAAGAATAAAAGTCCGGCGCTATTGTGAAAGTATTGTTTTGCAGGGCTGGCAGAGAGAGTCGTCGGGCGGGTCAGATGGAAGGGGTAAAGACTGCAGAGTTTTCAAGTGAGGATCCTGTCGAGTGGAATTATGGGAAATCTGAGTTAAACCTTCTGAATTTCTGCTGAGCGGCTTCTTCGGTTGTCTTAACTCACGAGTTTGATGCTTCACGTCTCTCCTATAAACTAGAGAATGCTTTCTAAAGTGGCCGAGTTCAGTTTTCTGCTGGTCGAATCACTGAATTCAGTTTCAGTTCAGCCATTATCTCTCTTTTGTCTGAATTTAAAGTTGCACTCTGTCATATCAGGAGGCTAAAATGGTTAATTTACGTGGAACGGGTCTCCTCAATATATAGGGGCCAATTGCAAAGCAATACATTAATATCATGCTTTTAAATCATTCATTTTTACATTTAAATCATACCGTTGTGGTCTATATAAAACAGAACTGCAATGCTTGGGTCTGAATTCCTCATTATTATAGCTCCACAGGCCCCTTTTCTACCCCTTTTCTGATGTGCGTCTTTGAGCGACCCGTTTCAAAGCGGCCCCTTTAAATAAAAAGGAGATGCGTCACACCCCGCCCACTCTCCAGGTCGATGAGTTCACGGTCAGTTCAACTCCCCACGTTCGGCCATTATTGTAGTTTGATTAGAGATATACGATACCTTCAAAGAAAATTTTTATTCACAATGTCAACAACAGAAGACTCGTCCTTCAAGCCTTACATATTCTAGCCAGAGCGAGCGAGTTGATAAAGACGACGACGAACCTGCAGAACAACCTTCATTTGGATATATTGTTATGTAAGTTAACTGTTTTGTTTTATTAGTGAAAGTCGACTATTTCTTTTGTTAAAACAAGCACACTGACAAGATAAATGACTACGGTGTAATCTTACCACAAACAATCTGTATTGATAATATGATATGTTTAGAAAAGCATCAGAAAAGCAGCTAAATGACCATTGATGAAACTCACTACTGCAGACGTGTAACGTTACTTCAAAACAAAAACAAAGAAAGACAAAGGTACTGCTAAACCATGACCACCATGTGTAGATAGATAGATAGATAGATAGATAGATAGATAGATAGATAGATAGATAGATAGATAGATAGATAGATAGATAGATAGATAGATAGATAGATAGATAGATAGCCATGAAAAACTAAACTGCTTCAGTCCAGTAAGTGTTCATCAAAAAAGATCACCATGACCTGAAGTGCAGGTATTATTACTAAACACCAGTAGAACACCAATGATGAAAGTAAAATAATTGTTCTGTTTGAGTGTTTTGGTTTAATTTGGTCACAATATTGACAGTAAGTAAATTGTGTTAGAATTCAAACCTACCTAAAAATCCACCTTTTTTTTTCGTTTTATTTAATTTATGGCAAAACTCATGCCTCATGCAATGCGATAAATTAAAATAGGCTACTGGCTAGTAAAATGTAAGAATGTAAGCACACTTCATGCACTGTTATAATTCACTATAAAAGTAGAAATAGCTGGAGACTAAATGTTATAATAATATTAATGTTATTATTATTACCAGTAATTTATTTCATTATTTTATCTTCATTTAGCCAACAAGTAAAAACGTCAGCCTTGCTGAGCAATGATGCAAATCGTCCATTTGCGCCACCTGGTGGTGATTTAGTGAGTGTTGCATGTGGTATTTTCCTATCTATTGTTTGCCATCATGGGATCATTTTATGGATTTAGTTTTAATTTGTCTTTAACTTTAATGACTTTTTTATTATTATTAAACAGCTGAAACACATTTAAGCTTGGAAAAAAAATCAATATAACCCATTAAACATTAAATTATTATACAATTTCTCCTTAGAACCCTTTTTTTGCATAAAGTGTTCTTTAGAATTAAGTCAAGATCCCTAGAGTTCTAAATAGAACCCCACTGATCCTTTTTCCTAAGAGTGTAGCACCTGCATTTTAGCAACAAAAAATAGCCTGTTGACAGGCCAAGTCAGAGCGTGGAAGGGTAATGATCATGTAAAAGGGGAAACAATATAAATACTTCAAACTAACCCTTTAAAGCTCTACACCCACTGATATGGAGAGCGTTTAAACGCATAACTTTACTTCAAAATAAGTGCTTGTTCTTGCAAAGTCTCCAACACTCCAGACAGAGTGTTAAAATCAGACGCGCCCCACTGATATTCCCTGACTCCTCTACTTTATGCACATCCAGCAAGGTTAGAACAAAACTCATACCATGCCATTGAAACAGCCCCTTTTCACACTCTTTTATGGTTCCTCTAAAGGTCTTAGCCGTGCAGCAAAGGAGAGCTGTCACTGGGGAACCTGAGCCCATTGATGAACTGACAGCCACTGCCAGAATATGATCCTAATCCTGTTCCCAGCATTCTTTAACCCACTGCCATCGCAGTGCCGGCACATATTCAAGCAGCTGTCAACTCAGAAAATCCCTATAACAGAGCACAACCCTGATACACATCAAAGAGCTCGACCTCGACAGCTTAACACACACACACACCCAACCCCAAAACTGCACGTTTGTACACAGCACACACTAAATATTGGTTGTAAAAGTGTCAAACAAGAGATTTAACATGTTGTATTTGTCAAAAAATGTATTGCATTAATGATCACTGAACCGGTTTTGCTTCAGGACGCAGATTTTATCTCATAGATTTAGTTACTGAATAAAATCGAATGTTGGCGTTTATTAATCCCTGCATAGAAGCCAAAAATGTGAAACTATTAACATAGACTGAGTAAGAAAATTGGCATTATAATTATGCACTTTTTTCAATGGTTTCAAGGCCAATAATTCAAACCATGTTACTTTTGTTGAAAAGTATTTATGTTCATGCATGTTAACTTGTCACTTTGTAGAAGTAAAATTCTTAAAATTAGCATTTCGAAGAATACCCAGTCTTGTCTTAGGACAATGAACTTTTTTGATCCACTTCAAATTTTGACTATACTATTTTGAGGAAGATCATTGTTTTGGTTGTGCATTATATGTGACTGCGGATGACTATGGTTCTTTGTCATAACTAAAAAGAGAGAGATGAATCTACTGCTCATAGCTTTATTAACAGACTTGACCACAATGAAATGACCCTTCACAATAGAAAATGCTTACAATGAACTGTTAGAGAGCAATTTATCTGTAAAATAAAACACCTTACTCTAATAAAAACACAATCTCTTTTACAACGTTTCAAACCCCTCAGTTCTCGCCATCTCCGAAATGCCAAGCTGATGTTGATTCTTGTTTTATTACGAGCTCTTTCTCTCTTTGCCCGCAGTCTCTCCTCTGTTCGGTGTGTTTAAAACTGGTGAATCTCCGGATGTTCTCCTTTCTCACTCGTTGTGACAACTAACCCCTTTACTGTATTTACGGATGTGAGGAGACACACACAGGTGAGTGACAATGTCCCATGAGTCATCCCGACAGGTCTAATATAAACACTTATAATAGCCATACCATAGTGAATCAGGGTAAAAACACCTGATGATGTATTGACTCATCATTTACATTAAGTTAAATGTAAACAAAAAAGTTAGTGTGTACGTTTGTATATTTTAATTAGAGCTGGGAGATTTTTTTTCCCTAAGAAAATCAGATTTTTTTTTAAATAAAAAACTTAATTTACGATTTTCTTCATTTAAAACAAAATAACTGCGAACTGTATATTTAAAAAAAAAAATGTATGTATTGTATTTAATTAAAGTGCATCAACATGAACAAAATTGCAAAGGCAAACCCATTTATCTAACTGAAAAGTCGCTGTGTGAGCAACAAAGATTATTAAACAGCCACATTATTTATATGATTTAAATTATTTTTTTTGAAAATATTGATCGACGGATCGATTTTTAAATCAAATTGATTTTTTTCCTCTAATTTGAATGTATTTATTGTTCATTTTATTTCAAGTAACTCGATGTTTTTTATGGTTTTAGTTAACTATAATAACTCTTCTCCCTTTTAAAACTTAAAGGGATTCACTTTTTAAAAAAAAAACTTTTGCTGATGATTTTTTTTGCTGATTAAGTCATCCAAGATGTCCACGTCTTTTTTTTTTTCTTCAGTAGAAAAGAAATTAAGGTTTTTGATGAAAACATTCCAGGATTTTTCTCCATATAATGGACTTCAATGGTAACCAAACGGTTCAAGGTCCAAAAGACAGTTTCAGTGCAAACTGTTCAAAGGGCTTTAAACGACACCAGACGATGAATAAGGGTCTTATCTAGGACCCTTTGAGTCATGACATGAAAAGATTCGTTCATTTTGATGAATGAGTTTGAACAGGAGAGTCACGAACGCGCATCACAGAATAGAGCAAGGCGAGCATTTGTGCTTATAAAACTTAAACTTTGTTATTTATTTTTTAAATGAGTGATCGTTTCGCTTGATAAGACCATTATTCATCGTCTGGTGTCGTTTAAAGCCCTTTGAAGCTGCACTGAAACTCTCATTTGGACCTTGTTTGGTTCCCAATGAAGTCCATTATATGGAGAAAAATCCTGAAATTAATTTCTTTCCGACTGAAGAGAGAAAGACGTGGACATCTTGGATGACATGGAGGTGAGTACATTTTCAGCAAAAGTTTTTTTTTTTTTTTAAGTGAACTACTCCTTTAAGAGATGTTAACCGTTATTATGCTATTGTTAAAGATCTTGTCTTTTCTGCCGGAGTGAGAATGAAATCCATCTTTTTCAAATTCGCCGTAGTTCCAGCATTTAAAGTACGGGCTGTTAACAGGAGTCTGAACACGACATGTCTTCTCACTCCATTCCTCTGTTCTTCCTCAACTTAATCCACTGGTATCCTGACCCGTGTTAATCTGCTTACTGCAGAGAGTTGTGCTCCAGAGCTGCCAAACCTCTGACAGGAGGGTGGCGACGGCCTCGCCGGGGTGATCCACTCGTCTTCTGCCTCTGTGTGTTAAGCTTTTCTCTGGATCTGTTATCAAGATGAGCATGCATGCAAAAGAGTGGGGGAAAAAAAACAGAAATAGAAAGGGCACGCATGCAGAAAACATTCCATTCCATCCATTTATTTAGTTATGGTGTGCAAATAATGCATTGCATATGGATTTAAAAAATGTAATTTTAGAGAATAGCATGCTCAAAAATCGAATCAATGTGTCTGTAACCTCAAATTAATTTTAGCTCAGTGATCTGACCTAACCCATCCTTATTTTTTATTTAGCCTATCCACTGTAAAAAATTAATACGCCTTATCTAATCAATAAAATTGTGGCAACAGATTACAAGCAATATTATTAATTAAATTTAGCAAATTAGAATTGAGTGATAATTAATCAAATGAACTCCTTAAAAGTTAACCTTTTAAAATGAGTAAAGTTTACACCCAAAAATGTAACAAAAAAATCTGAATCAAAGATTAATTAAGAACTATTTATATTATATTGCCAATATTGAAGACGCCTGATGTAAACAATCAAGTCATTTTAAAACAATCAAAACAAACACTGATCACCATAATGGTGACTTAAATGTATGTTTTTGTTTGTTTGTTGTAAGTTTTACTCATTTTAAATGGTTAACTTTTAAGGAATTAATTTGATTAATTATTACTCAATTCTAATTTGTTGATTAATAATATTGCTTGTAATCTGTTGCCACAATTTTTTTTGATTATATAAAATGTCTTCATTTTCACAGTGAATACACTTGCCGAACCTCAAATTAACAAAGGCAAAACTCATAATTAGTACTAATTATGAGTTTTGCTGTAGAGCAATAATGTTAGTTGCCTAATTCATGATCAATTTAGCTTCTGTTGTAATTACAGGTAAAATTACAGAGTTTTAAATGACCATTTTAAAATTGTGGAACTGTAAGAAATGCATGATTATTATTATTATTATTATAATAACTTTTAAGATGAATGTTACTCAGTGGCATAAAAAGTGTTGCATTAAATATCGTCAAATGCAGGTGTGATGGAAAAGAAAAAAAATCAAATCTGAAATACTCAACAAACAACTACAATTACACATTCAGTTCATATATGTGGTTTATTCCCTTTCATTTCACAGATAAATTATTCACATTTATTTAAACAATTCCATTAGACTCTAAGATGACAAATCACATGGCAAGACATCAGGAACATCAGTCCGGGTGATGCGGAAGTCTCTCTGATGTGTGCAGAAGCTTCAACCATACGCAAGATCCACAGACGCTTAAACATTTCTTCAAATATACAAACGGGAGGCTTCACTACCTTCTACTAAGGCTGTGGACCTGAATAAGCTTATTTACAGAGACAATTTATTTATTTTTTTGCATTTTAAAGTGCAAAGCAAGGGGTGTTTGGAAAAGTTTAAAACCTCTGCCATGCAGTCAGACCTTAACATTTCAAAGTCATCCAAACTTCTCCACTCCGCCATGCTAAATGATACTGAAACAGCTCCAGCTCAGCCAGCTGTCATGATTTCTGCACACTAATGTTATGTAGGCCCTGTTTACACCTTGTATTAAGATGCGTTTTGGTCGATCGGATCACAAGTGGACGACAGGTGTAAACGGGGTGTAAACACCGTAAAAATGATTTATCTAATCAATAAAATTGTGGCAACAGATTACAAGCAATATTATTATCAATTGAACAAATTAGAATTGAGTAATAATTAATCAAATTAACTCCTTAAATGTTAACTACTTAAAATGGGTAAGGTTTACACCAAAAAATTTAACAAAAATATCTGTTATTCAGATGTTTAGCAAGCAGAATCACTGAAGGAGAAAACCGTCATTTTAAAACAAACCTAAAACAAAAACTGATCACCATAATGGTGACTTAAATGTATGTTTTTTGTACGTTTCAGTGTTGTAGTCGAGACCACCTCACTCGAGTCCGAGTCGACACCGAGACCAGAGAAAGTCGAGTCCGAGTCAAGACCGAGTCCATAGAGAGTCGAGTCCGAGACCAGAGACGGTCGAGTCCGAGTCGAGACCGAGACCAGTGAGGGTTGATTACCTAATTTACTTTTATTTATTTAGAGAAATCCTTTTTTTTTTTTTTTTTTTTTTTTTTTACTGAATTTACTTAGGGTTTAAAAAATATGATCAGTTTAGGGTAAAAAGGCCACATAGTAGGTGGTGTTAAAAGTAATTTTATTACAATTTGTCATGCGCAGTTGCGCACTAGAAAATCACCAATCACTGGGCGTGTCAAGAAATATTTTATTATCATACATTAATAATCATGAAAAATATTTTGAATTGAACTCGAGTGGACTCGGGAATAATTCCAAGTCCTAAAAAAAAAAATGTTCGAGTACGAGTCAATTCCGAGTCCAAATGGACACGAGTCCATGACAAGACCAAGACCATTGAAATATGGTCCGAGTCCGAGTCTCGAGTACTACAACACTGGTACGTTTCACTCATTTTAAATGGTTAACATTAATTTGATTAATTATTACTTAATTCTATTGTTAAATTGAATTAATAATATTGCTTGTAATCTGTTGCCACAATATTTTTGATTAGATAAAGCATATTCATTTTTACAGTGCACTCAACAGTCAAACAGGTAGTCCAATTCAAGCTTTCGTAGTGTAAATGATCATGTGGTCGAATGTGTTCAAAAGGCCGTCTGAACTAATGCGTGAACATTATAGGAAGAGATCTAGCCAGACAGGATTTAACTTTGTCGGATGAAGACCCAAGTTTGTTTTGAAGATGAAACAAGCCCAATGTTCTCTCTCCATTCCTGATTTATAACACACACTCGCAGCGTTCGGCTGGTCTTGTGTTTGTCAGAGCCGAAACTAAAGCTGATGCTCTCTGTGTGTTTTTCCATCGTCTCCAGGCGTTCACATGTAAATTGCATGAGCTTATTTTGTCCATTAGATCTGAACATATATTAACCCACCCATAGACCCTCCCCTTGAAGAAATCAGGACAGAAGTGGTCAAAAGTGGACAATAGAGACGGATTAAAACACCAGGTGTCAACTCGTAAACGTGATCCGATCGACCAAAACACATCTTAATACCACGTGCAAATTTAGATCCTAAACAGAAGACATTGAGAGGTTAGTTTGGAAGCGTGTCCAAGCCGAGTGATGCAGCGTGTTGCTTCGCCCTCAGACGCAGGTTTTCGATGCTTGTGGTTTTGCTGTTGAGGGCCGGGAGAGCACCAGAGCCCTGCATCAGGGGCCCGCTCCACATCTGCTGGGCCTGGGACAGGGACTGGTAGTAGGGCGGACAAGGCAGCGATCCCAGCGGAGACGCCATGTTCATGTTTACGCCCAGGTAGGGTAAGGAGGAGGGCGTGGACACGTCGAAGGCGGGGTAGTGCATGATGTTGTTGGTGGCGGCCATGTGCTGGCGAAACTGCTCCTGCAGGCGGAAGAGACTGAGAGGAGACGAGGCGTAGGAGTTAGTCTGAGCCACTCCGCCACTGGAGGAGGGAAGAGCCGGGGAACCAAGCGGATCTTCTGGGGAGAGGGGATGACAATGTAATACTGTTTGCATTCAACATCCTTAAAGATACTGCTCACCCAAAAATGTATATTCTCTCATTGATGTTCCAAACTATAAAGGCCCGTACACACCGGGACGGATATCAGCGCGCGTTGTTCGCCAGCGTTTTTCAAGGCGTTTTTTGTAGCGATTTTCACTGACGATGAGCCGAGTGAACATGCAAATTCATTCCCTGACATTAGATGGCGCCCATTTGCTCTGCAATACCCCATACTGTTCTCTTTTATCAAGATGTTTGTAGTCGCCGTCGCGTTTGTCATATAGTTCTTTAGGTCCCACTTTATATTAAGTGGCTATAAGTACTATGAACTTACATTAAAAAATAAGTACAATATACTTCTGCTCATGTATATTGTATTGTAAAACACTTTTTGCTGCTATTGTCTGGGTAAGTTTAGGGACAGGTGTGGTGGTATGGGTAGGTTAAAGTGTAAGGGATGGGTCAGCTGTGTAATTACAGATGTAATTACATAAATTAGTTACAGCTGTAATTACATGCTGGTATTTTAAAAATATAAGTACAATGTAAAAACATGTATGTACACAATAAGTCCATTGTATCAAATTATTTGTTTCAATGAAAGTACATAGTACTTAAAGACACTTAATATAAAGTGGGACCATTATTTATGTTCCATCTAACACCAACGAGATCAGCAGCTCTACATTCATCTTGCCTCGCATCTTCCTCATCTTATTTCTTCCTGGCTCTGTAGACGGCGACGGTTACTTGGCGTAGATCTTCTCCGTTACGTATGTGTGCTCGGCAAGACCGTTTTGTGTTTGAGCGCCCCGAAGTTGTGTTTTACTGTAACTTCAGAAGCTTGTCCAAACACGTGAGCAAAAGTAGCAATCTCATTGGTCGGATAGTTTTTGACGTGGCGCGTCAAACAAAAACAAAAAAACGAACCCGAGGCGTTTTTTTTTTTTTTTTTTTTAAAACACGCGTTTTACGCGTCGGTGTGCACACTTTACATTGGTGCCCATTGTTGAGTCACGAGGTGTTAAACGTCAGCGAAAATTGCGCGCGAAATTCGTCCCTTAAGACTTTGGTTAAATTTTGGCACAAAGGCGTCCTATAAAGGAATATTCACCTAAAAATTAATATTCTGTCATCAATTATTCAATCTCATGTTGTTCCAAACCCACTTCGAAAGACAAATTACAATATATTTTATGAAACCTGTGAGGAAAGCCCAGGTAACCAAAACTTAATAGCCTAGATCTAAAATGGTTAAGGGTTAGTAAGCGGTTCAATCGAAGTTTTGTGAAGAGAAACGATTGCTTTATATAATGAACAGAAAGCGTTTTTCGCATAAAGACGATAACGCTGTCAAAACGATCCCCGAAAAATTATTAAAAAAACACTGTATTATGCTGCCAGGCCAGTAGTTGGCGGCGTCACTTTGTAAAAAAACAACAACAATAGTAATACGCATGACGTCACTGTTTTCACAAATTCGCGGGGGTTTTTCGTTTACATGGAGACAATAATGGTATCGTTTTCAAAAACTTGCAATTTTATTTTATTTACATCTAAATAATGATCAACGTGCCCAGATTTTTTACCTGTAGAGTAAATTCTATCTTTTCATTTGTTCAGTGTTTCTCCTTTTGTGTTCCCCGCAGGAGTTTGGAATGATGTGATTTGAAAAATTATAACAGTAAAATAATTTTTGGTTGAACTAACCCCTAATTCTCTTTAATCTTTTCGAAAGTGTTTTTTTTTCTGAAGCATCGTGAAAGAAAAATAATACATGAATAGCTATTCATACCTAATTTAGGGCTGATCGGTTTGCAAGAAGGTGAAGTGTCGTCTGTTGTCAGGGGAGGCCCCGCCTCTTTTGTTTCATCTTTGATTGACAGCGATTCGTCCTCTCTGTCAGTCATGTCCTCCGCCCCTGACTCCGCCCCTGATTGTTCCGGTGAGGTGACATTGACCTCCTCACTCGGCTCACAGGGAGGGGCACACGTGGAGCCACGCCCATCTGAAGGAGAGGGCGGGGCTTGAGAATCAATGGGCGGGGCTTCTTCTTTTCCTTCTTCCTGTGCACTCTCCATCCCAGCATCCTTCATCCTCTGAAGCTGCTCTTTCTGCAAGCTGCGCTGTTTCTTGCGAAACTTTGCACGGCGGTTTTTAAACCACACCTGTTAGTGTGAAGAAATTGGTGTTTGTGAATCTTTAAAGTGAATCGTTGAATTAAGGCAAGACGCCACTGCTGATATAGAGTAAAAACTTAAGCAATGACCATAATGAGTAATCAGTACATCAAGAAAATTGTTTTGTATTTCAAGATTTCTGAAATTTTATGTTCAAATATGCAAATTAGACAATATCTTATGTGTGCACAAATGTAGAAATGTAAATTTTTGTAGTGTTCATGATATTTTTGGATATTTCTTTAGCTCCATAATTTAGATAATCCTATCAACAACGAGAAAAAAACTATTTATACCATGTTTTTAGGGGAAAAAATATATAAAACAGGTGATTAATACATGAACAAACCCCTTTGTAAAAACCTTCAGAGTATAGGAGTTAAGCAGGAAAGTTTATTGTATAGTAAGTGCTAATTTATAACTAACATCTATCAAGTGCTTGAAGCCAGAGGGGCGTAAGTAGCATTTTTGGCGAATATGAGTTCTTTATATCAAAATAAAGGTCTCGATGAGCTCTATCCAATGGTGCCAAAATACCTATCTGAGATCAAACTGTATTGAATAAAGCAACAAAAAGTTGTATCTGACATATTTGATATATTTTTTTTTTGTTTGAAAATGTTTTAGAACATGTTGATTGTGTTAATATGCCATACATTTTTTACTTAAATACTCATTCATGTAAGTATGCCTGTGGTTGCAATGTTTGTGGTTTGGTTAATAATACAGGTGAAGTGTGTCAATTTTGTTTTGTCTCTCCAGTAAAGTTTGTTAAAAGCCACTTACGCCCCTCTGGCTCCAAGCCCTCGCTATATGCAAATACAATTTAGTTACAAAATCTAAATAAAAACTCCTAATTGTGTATTTTTTTTGTTTTCTTTGCATTTATAGTCACTAAATGCAAAGTTTTAGTCTAGTAACTTAAGCTAAATGAAATCTCAAAATTGACCAGTGCATGAAAAAAAAACTATATTTCTGTTTGTAGTGTATTTAATTAAGGTGCACAATAACATTAGCAATGTATAATTCTGCCTATACTACAAAGTTGTGTCCTGGCATCTTTTATGTGCTTTTTGATCTTGAAGTGATTCCCCATCTGCTGTGGACTGACCTGCACTCGAGCTTCGGGAAGGTTGGTGCACATGGCCAGGCGTTCACGCATGACCACATCAGGGTAGTGAGTTTTCTGGAAGGTTTTCTCCAGCGCCTCGAGCTGCTGCGCGGTGAAGGCTGTTCGGCTGCGGCGCTGCTTCCGGTGCTGAGAGCCGTACCGAGCCTCTAAGATGATGTCTACACACACGTTGAAGATTAAGAATTGGTGAGTTTCATAACAAACTTGTCTATCTATCTATCTATCTATCTATCTATCTATCTATCTATCTATCTATCTATCTATCTATCTATCTATCTATCTATCTATCTATCTATCTATCTATCTATCTATCTATCTATCTATCTATCTATCTATCTATCTATCTATCTATCTATCTATCTAGCCTATCTATCTAGCCTATCTATCTATCTATCGATCTATCGATCTATCTATGAATGAATGAATGAATGCATGAATGAATGAATTTGAACTTTGAGGTGAGCGGTGATTACCTGCCAGTCTCTCCGCCAGGGTGAGCGCGTGCACGGAGGGCCGGTAGTCGGGCGCGTGCTGCGCGTGCTGCGCGGCCTGTTGATGCAGGTTGTACATGGCGCTCAGCGAGTTCATGGCGTGCATTGAGTAGCCGTTCACCCCGTAGTGCTGCATCTGTTAGACGACAGAACATGCAGAAGATTACCTGACTGATCATAATAAATAAGTAGGCTAGGCCTATTTCATTTCTCCGTTTATTTCTCCGCATAATTAGCCTATATGCATAAAGATAGCCTGAAGTAATTTCACCACATGAAAAATAAATAACTGACAGAATTTGAACATATACAAAAAAATATATACTATACTTAAAAATAAAAGTTATTTATTGGCATTAATTTTTACAGGAACAAACTTGAAATCCACCATGGAATCTTGTCGCACAAAAATAATCATTTTTTATATCTTCTTCAAACTAAGAAAAAAATTGTTATTTTAAGAAATTCTCACCGAAAAGTGTTTCAAAAATGGTTCTTCCATGGTATCACTGCAAACACTTTAAGAGTGCATTGCATTTTTAAGAGTGTATGCAACTTAAATCAAACCATCTCATATTTCAATTCACCAGGAATCATTTATTTCTCGCATACCGTATCATTTTATTGTAAATTAAAGGATTTAGTTCCCTCATAAATGAAGGAATAATTCTTTCCTATAATATGCCATGTCTTTCAGAACATGTGCATTACAGTCTTACAACAAAAGTTTAGTATCAGTCGTAAACAAACATCTGTGTGTGTTCATAAACTTTCACTTCATATTTTCTTGTAAAACGCTCGCTACATTTTTAACACTATAGGCTACGAATTTTTTGTTATTTTATTTCATTTGTATCGAATCATTTTTTGTGCAAAAAATTCTTGGTAATTTTTTGTTTTTCTTCTAATTTTAAGCAAATACTAGGCCTAACTTTATGACAAATGAACAGCTAATATCGGTGTATGCTATAACTTTTGTTTATTCACTTTTATTAAATTGGAAAACGTGTATAAAAAAATAATATGGCAAAGCTGTTGTTTACTTTTTTTAATTCAATCTGAACAAAAACATTGTTTTCATCATGATGGCGTATATGACACAATCGATGATGAATGTTTTCGTTCAGTTTGCAAGCAGCCGTGACAGATGGACTTTTTATAGCTCGTCTATCAAATTAAATGCCTTTATAAATAATTCGTTTTGGGTATGTTGAAGACATTTTAAAAAGTGTAGGCCTATTAATTTTGTGCATTCTCTTTGCAAGAACTGCTCTAGGCCATATTTGACAATAGACTGTCAAAAAACGCTTTTAATAAATAGGCAGTAATAAACAGTTAGCCCCAATTATAGGCCTATAATAGCACAGCAGAGGATTGAATCTGAATTTATTCAGGATTTTCCATCATTAAGCTGCAGTTTGATCACCCTTTAATCTGTGATAATTGGCTACAGTGTAATAATCTCTTTATTAGTCATAATTATTTTTTGAAGCAAGAATATAAGCAGCCTGAGGGTTTAGGATTTAGTCCTGACTAAAGAGCCCGTGGCATTTGTGTCACTGACACTAAATTCCCCAGTGTAATCATATTCCAGCCACATGGGAATACTTTAATTCGGCTGAACAAAAAGTGCTTTGCTAAACATTTACTGTGTGTGTCTGTCCCGCGGTGTTGAGCTCAGTCGGTGCTCTTTCTGTCGCCTCTGGGCTGGTTCTGTTGGGGATGTGTGTGTGTGTGTGCATTTATAAATGCGCGTAATGTTGCTGCAGATATAGCTTTCATTACCAGTCTGAGTCTGGCCTGATGGACGCGAGGTAGTTTGTGTTTGACGACATGCACTTGGTGCCCATTTTTTTAACAACCAGCCACAATATTTCCAAGACATTGTGATTAAAATATTTTTTTTGCAACATTTTTTTTGTCTTAATTTTTTTTTTCTAATTATCTCTTTAAAAAATCACTCTAAAAAATGCTGGGTTGTTTCAATACACGTTTGGGTCAAATATGGACAACCGTTAGTTTAAAAATTCAGCGTAATTTAACATTTTAAACGAAAGGTTGGGTTTTAAAATGTAATTTAATTTAAAACAACAATTGGGTTTCTCCATATTTTACCCAACCATGGGTTGAAACAACCAATCATTTGAGTAGCCTAAATCAAGGCTTAATATATAGGCCTACGTTTAGTTTAAATATAGCCATAATACATATTACAAAATATAGGCCTACTCCATAGCCTATATAAATCAAAGTTTAGTCATTTCTAACTAATCTGAATGTAGGAGGTCTGTTAAGCATTAGCCTATATAAGCTACTGTATTTTTTAGGTTTAAACTCCCAATTAAATTTAAAATTTAAAATATTAGGCTGAATTCGATGATGATAATAATAATGACTGAATTAATTTGTAAGGGTCCGATCATATCCTCAACAACTTCACACTTTCACCGCCAACAGTTTGTAATTCAATGTTTGTTAAATATTTTACGAATATTTTATCCTATTATAATAGACGGTCAGTTTCAAGTCTTAAAGGGCCATGTCAAATATAAAAATAACTTATAATTTAGGTTAGCCTATATAATTTAGGTAATTTAGATTAGCCAATATGTGTAAGTTAAAACACAAAGTCATGAAAGCAGTTATTAAAACTGATTTTCACAGGCTCGTATGAAAGTGTTTACTCACCTCTCTGAGAAGTTTGTCCCCCTCCGAACTCTAACAACAATTTAGCAACTGAACAGAAGTGATTTTTCCCAGTCTGTCTGCAGTTTAATATCCTGTTGGAAGTCAAACGTATCCGATACTGTTTACAACTGCTCTGTTCTGAAGAATGTTTGATGTTAGTCCTCAAAAAATATCACAGCCTCCGCGGGTCAGAGCGCTCGAAGCTCCCGCCCATCGGCCAATGAGGAGCGCGATCAGATCACAGCGGCACCTGATTGGTCAATTCGCTGTCAGTCAGAGGTCCTTTACCTTCAGTTCCTCCAGTTTTCACGGGTTCATGCTGACCTGTGCTACGTATGCTTTTTTTTCTCTTATAAATATATGACGACTGACGCAATCAGTTATAAATAAAGTAATATTAAATTATAAATACTAGCCTAATTTTAAACATTAGCGGCTAAAATATTTTAAACGTCTAAAAGATAACACTCTAAAAATACTGGGTTGTTTCAAGCCATGTTTGGGTCAAAAAAAAAAAAAAGATAAAAACTAACCGTGGGTTGTTGAAACAACCCAGCATTTTTTAGAGTGCAGGCTCTATTTTGCATATAGACTATTCGAAATGAATAAATTTGATGTTTTATTGTTACACCATTAATTGCAAAAACAAATTTACAATTTTAGAAAAAATAGCCTCAACTTAACTAAAGAACAACTGTGACGCATGTCCAAGCTGGAATCTTAATGATGAAAATGTGGAGGGGAAAAGAGTTGTAAACTATTATTTGCGTTACACCTCTTGAGTCTGACAAGCTGATTTTAAGAGGGACCGAGGCAAAGGAGGAGGAGAGAGAATGAGATCTCTAATAGATGGCAGAATCTCTCCCGGCCCGGAGGATTTAGAGACGCCATCTCAGCCTTTAAAACACTCTTAAAATGACGGATGGTAAGAGGATTAAAACAATAATGCCCTTCTCTTTTTCAGTTTTTTTAAAGGTTTCTTCTTCTAGAGGGGGGGAAACATTTAGGCTGGAATTAAGAAGAGTTCCTTAAATGCAAAGCTTAATATTGTGTTGAAATGCATGGGGAAAATTGAAGATTCGGGGTGATATTTTCAGTTTTGGCTAAATTTGTAAAGCTTTTATAGATGGGGCACAGAAAAAAAAAGTTATAACCTGCCTATACCGGTAGGCTATAGTTATTTTTATTTATTAAATACATAGGCTATTGTAGTATTTAGGCTGATCTATATGGATTAGTGCGCTCCTCTGTAGCCTACAGTCTAATCAAAAATTTTAAAAAATAATTTATTTTTATTTATTTTTTTAATGCGGGACATTTTTTAATGCGGAACATTATTTTTTTTTTAATGTTCTTGGAAGTTACCCGTGGTTTAGGCTAGCGCCTGTTTAGTGCACATAGGCCTATGCTTAAGGTCTAGAGGGAAAAATCCGATTAACTTTTGAACCAGTGGAAATACAAGAAGTTAAATAGGAGGTAAAGCTGGGCAGTGTTCTGTGTAAAGACCGTTTTTAAAGCAATTAAAGCGAGAAGGAAATCAATTCCTCCGTTTCTTCACAGACTCTAATGCGCATGCGTCCGGTCTGAAGGGTTTATCGGTCGATAAAGAAATATGATTTCAACACAACTCGGCAGATTTTGTCAGTTTTTAATAACAACTCTCAGTACACCCAACCAACAAAAATTATGCGTTAATGTGATATACCAGCCCGATCTCATGAAAGTTCGTCATTTCTCGTGGCATTTATACGCCAAAAACAGTTTTTGCGTGTATTTGGCACGCGATTTTCGCGTACATATGATACGCACTTTTTTGCGTATAATACGCACGAACTCCCCACCCCCCTCCCCCCTAAACCTAACCCAGGGTTTTTTAGTGCGTACCATATACACGAAAAAAACACTTTTGGCGTATAAATGCCACGAGAAATGACACTCGTGGTATAGATACGCATCTTCATGAGACTGTGTTGGATATACCGTATAATTAGGCCTGAACTTCCCAGAACAAAAACATTTTTTTAAAGAAAGCTTTAGGCTAGCCTAATTCCATTAAGTTACGAACGTTATTTCAATGGCCCAGATTGTTTTTAAAACGTCCAGTTAAATGTCCAGTTTTTTAAATAAATCACATCTATTGACCAATCAGAATCAAGGATTGGAACTACAGTTTTATTAGAAAGTTTTGCATTCTCTCCATTATTTCAGATGCCCATTTTTTATTTCTTTTTTTGTCAGTACCAAACAGTTGATGGGAGCTTGAGTTCTGTATAGTTTATTTTCCACAACAAATGGCCCTTCAATATTACTCATCAAAATATCTTCTTTTGTGTTCAGCAGAAGATTTATTAACTCAGGTTTGGATCCACTTGACGGCGAGTTAATGTCACGTCACTAATGTCTGCAATGTGAACAATTACGAGTAATTGAAGCAACATTTGCCTCGAACAGCAATCAAAGATGTTTTCAATCCCTTAATACATTACTTATAAGCATTCCAACATGTACAAAGGTTTGAAAGATGAAGAGTTTTTAAAATGTGAAATTTGTCAGGGTCCTGAACTGCAAGACTGAATTTGATTGCCACTGTTTGAGGTTATTTTTTGACTCGCCACCACTTATGCACACTTCTGCAAACATATTTATTCTGTATTTTACTATGAAAAGTTTCCATCACAGAAAGCCTCTTTAGATGATTTAACGTCTTTCCTCTTGGAGATGATGCTCTCGCATGCCAGATCTTCAGAACAAAACTTTATCCTCTCTTTAAGCTCAACCGACCAGCCAAAATGTGCAAGCTTTCTCAATGAGGTGTAAAACCAACTTTAAACCAATGAGCCAAATGCAATACGCAAGGTTTTAGTCAGCCTACTCCAATTTCATGTTTAGGATATGGATGCATCCAAGGTTTTATGGTCGGGATTCAAACAAGTTTTCCTTTGAGAGACATAGGGAAAGCTGGCAAAATTATCTCTTATTGTGTTTCGAATGTAAACAACCAACTTTGCCATTGGTAGAGGGTTGAACCTCTGTTTCTTGTCAAGGGTATTGTATGTGCTGATATAGGCAATATTAACAATTTTGATTAATGGACCTGAGTTGACTGCTTCCTGGGGACTCTTGTGACAAGAATAGCAAAGCAACTTGCCAGAAGCAATCCGTTAAAAGTGTTATTATTAAGACATTTGGTTAAAATGTTTTCTTTCCACTTCTGCTGAATCTGATTAAAAGGAGCCAAAATAACACTTGCCATCAATCAATCCTTCCTCAATAATGCTAAACAGCACTGGAATTTTTCTTCTTTAACACTTTGGGCTGAAGGTTGAGATGATTTTTTTGTGATGTTTACACACAGTATGATGTGTTGAGACAGGAATTGTCTGGTAATGTTTTCTCCTCAGGCATAGCGATGGCTTTGAAAAGATTTTTAGTTGAAGTTTTTGTCTGTAAAAATCTATGCTCAACGAACAGTTTTGTTGTTGTGTTGGAATATTTTAGGAAGTTTGGTTGTACATCAAAGTGAATAATAATAGGTTATAGTGCTTATAATTTGCTAGTGCAAGTGGTTTTTGGATATGGACATTCTCATTCTTGGCCATTTGGGTAGCACTTCATTTTACAGTCATAGGCGTAGACTTACTTATTATAGTAATAACTGGGTAACCAACCCTGAACATACTCCTAAACCCAACCTTAACCCATGTAGTTTCTAAGGTAAATACACATAAGTCGACATACTGAAAATAAAGTTCAATTCGTAAAGTCTGTTCACTTTATCTGCTAAAAAGGAATTTGGTCAACTTTTAGGAGTGCATTTATATGACTGAAAAGAGACTAAAAGTATTTACTCTAAGGTTTGCTTTTCTTGATATAACACATGGGACATTCTTTGGATTTTTTCCTGAAAGAAGGATTTTGAGTTGTAACTTTGGTAGCCCAAAATCTGAACTGCGTCTGAACCGTGAGTATTTGGACAACATAGCTCTCCTCAATTGGTTTGGCCAACTTCCCATCCTGAGAACATTGACATATTGAAACTGGCAGTTGAGTTTCTTCCCTCCAGCCTGTGGCCGGACACAACAACACCTTTTGTGTTGGTCTAATCCTGGGGCTCCACCGTCTTCGCAACTCTAGGGGATAAAAGCACCATCAAACCACTACTTTAGGGGGAAAATCTTCCCTAATCCTAGCTTTACCTAAACAAAAGGAGGGGAAAAAACAAGAGGGTGGAGAGAAATTGTGCAGAAACAGGGCAAGACCCAGAGCAAAGATCCATACAAACCATTTTCCTGGAGAAACTAAGCATTTCTGACAGGCTTTCAAGGCCACTAGTGACACAAAGTACCAAGTCATATAGAGAAAGATCCTCACATTAGATATCTGACTCTTTGAAAAGCATTCTAATCTTCAAACTTTCACAGAATTTAATTTTAGGATTTATTTCAATTGTTAGTTGTGTTTCTAGAAAGTATCTTAACATGAACTCTTTCTTCTTCTATTTACCCCCTGCTGAAGCTAGTTAAAAGTCTGTTTGGTAACACTTTACAATACAGGTGCACTAATATACATTAATTCATGCTTAACTAATGAACAGATAATCATGAGTTGATGTATAACTAATGAAGAACTAAACCATTAATTAATGATTACTGCATCAGCAACTAATAAAGAGTCTATATGATTAATAGATTAAGTAATACATGAATTGCTAATTCAATGTGTCATTGTATATTAATTCCTTAATAACATATTTTATTAACTAATAGTGTAAATTAATGTGTTAATTACCATAATTAGTCAAAGCTATGCACTTCAACCTCGAGTTGTCTGATTTAATTAATCATTAGCTAATTATTTGCAAAGGTATCATTACATTATGACTTTACTTGTTGGGGCACATCATTATTAGTCATTTAGTAATTGCAGTAATTTGCACATGAATTTGCACTAACAATGAAGCAATTAATCATGTATTAATGCATATTAGTGTACCTGTCATATTATCTGGAAGTTGAAATACAAAGCTTTGGCTGTTAAAAAATGAGTTATTATGGAATTAATACACAATTACATATTTAATCAATAATAATTCATGAATGAACTAATACATTAACCGTACAGACTCTTAATTAGTTCCTAATGTGGTAATCATTAATGAATAGCTTAAATAATCATTAGTTACACATTAATTCA